CCCCAAAACCCCAAAACCCCAAAACCCCAAAACCCCAAAACCCCGAGGTGCAAAAATATACTGAGATATTACAGATATTTAAACTCGGTATTTATCTAAGGTCTTCAGCTCTCTTACTGATCTCTGTAATTTTCCTGAATAATTTTGTTTCAGAGAATTTTAGGGCTCTTTCATCCAAGAGTTCTTGCTTTTTACTCAGCTTCACTATTAAATATGAGGGAAGAACTTACAAACTTTTCCTTTAATAACTTTTGGACGGCAGTCTTTCTTTTTGTTTTGATAGATATCAGCTATTCTTTGATAAAGAACTCTGATGTAGTTCAAAATCTGGGAATCCTCGTTGTAAATTTTGTCCATCTGGAGATTCATGAATTTGAAACTGCATATATTAGCCTTGAGCTCTCATAGATTCATATAATACCTACGGGTTATATTGAGGCTTACTTTTTGTAAATTAAATTTTTCAAAGTGGATTCAAGAGGAGCATCAAATTTTATGATATACTTAATCTGCTTGCCACCAACTTTTTGTCCCTTCTTCAGGTCAGAAGATATTATTTCTTAAATTTTATCATTAAGGATACCTTTCAAGAATTTGAACTGACTGTAAAGCATAATTGCCAACACTTTTGCATCATTTTTAGAATTTGTATTAATATAAAGCTGGAATTTTAAGTATAGGGGGATTTCAAACCAAATACATGCCCTAGCATCTAGCTTTCACCCACGTTTATTGCTAAATAATAACTCGTTGGAAGTACTTTTTCCATATGCCTTTGTTCAGACTTGTGAAGTATTCTCCTCTAGAAATTTTAGGCTAAAGCTTACTTTGTAAGATTGCTTTCCTCAATGATTGTGACTAAATTAGGTTAACCATTGTTTTGGATGACCTTTTTAACTCAAAAAGTTACCTGCTAGCTTATTTATTTGTTTGAAATCTAGCCTTTGGACTCATTTAAAATAGTCAAACCTACAGTAGGGAGATTACTTAATAAAGGAAATGAGAAATGACTTACTCTTCATTATCAGCAAGGATACCAGCTTTTTTAAAATGTTCTCTTGAGAATCCAATTGAGTTCCATAGTTGAACCTTCATAGTGAAAGATAACTTTTTGAAGATCCTGATTCTTTCATGGTTGTCTGTGTGATGCCACCATAGTTGCTTCTGAATATCAGAAATCATCCCATGTGGTTTCTTCTATGAATTATAGAGATAAAAATACTTCTTCATCAAAATGTGTATGCTGCTCAATAATGTTTAAAGATAACTCTCCCCCAGAGAAATCTTCCTCAGATTCATGTGCATGTGAATCAAATTGGTTTTGAAGTGGAGCATTACTCTTAAACCTTTCGTGAGAGTCTGGAACTTGCTCCCTTGAATTAGAATTATCCATTGAATCCGAAAACTTGTCCACATAACTGTCATTTGAGCCTTCAGTTTGGTCATAGTTGATTTGTGCTGCTTTCCAAAGTTTGAATTTCTTGCTTATTTCTGACTTTTCCCAGATCTTAATCTGCTTGCCTTCTCTCCGCATTAAGAATACGATTTGAGTTTCATCAAATCTGACTTCTGGACAATCTTGGTCATGCAGCTTTCCACAAGATCAAGGCGGATGTTCTACATCTAAAGTTTATTTGTGTAAAATTACAATCAAGAACATCGTGTTCATTATTGACTAGTTGATTAGTGTAGTTTTTATATAATAGTTGAGAAACTTTCGAAGTTAGATTAGTCACCCAAAAGTTCAACTCCATCTGAGCCTCGAGGTTATTTTCAAGCTCCACTGATTTATCATTGATATGAGTGTACATCTTAAGAGAATTATTTTTGAAAAATCTCTCTTTGATTTTTAAATTAGTTACGTTTGGTTCTAAGAAAGATGAAATATAAGCTTACTGCTTCTTTTAGGATTTTCTTCCTCTTCTTGAGCATCTTTGAAGCATTTGCAGCAATAAGAATTGAATTTGTGGGTTATTTTCTTCCATAGATTATTCTTACTCTCCTCTTCTCCTGTATAAATCGACATACTTGCAATGTATTGTTCAACATAGTGAGAAATTATAATTGAAGCCATCATGTTTAATAGCAAAATCATGATCATAATGAAGCTGATCCTAAACATGTCTTTATCAAATGAACTATAAACATTTTGATTATCAAGGTTTCCAGATCCACTGGCTAATCTGACAAGGGCTAGAACAGTGTGGGCTACTTCTCGGTATTCTTCATTCGAGATTCCAAACTGGAAGTGAGCAATTAGAGAATATCCTCAAAGAAAGACAGTAAACATCAGAATAAAGAACATCAGATCTGTGGCTGACTCTGTGATTATATCAGTGAATATCGCCAACTTTTGACTAAGATCAAATAGTTTTGTTAGCCTGAAGAACAAGAGGATGGATAAAATAGAAGTATAAATACGATAATCAGAGAGGAGATAGACTGTATCGCTTATGTAATCGAAACATCCAGGAGCATTCCCATCTGATTGGATCTTAAATTCTGATTGCGTTGCTATTCTTATCCAGATTCTTATCAGCACCAAAATGAGGATCAGTGATATAAAATGAACAATATTGTAGATTGAAGAGAATGAGTATTTTAAAATTGCTTTTACAATGTAGAAGGATAATTTTAAGAGACAAATAGTTAACTTCTTCATGATATACCAAAGCCCCTGACATGTTTTGTATCCATGGATCTCCCTTCAATCAATTCTCATTACTCTTAGGAGATAAAAAGCACGGCGCATATGAGGAGGCTGTTTTTCAATACTTTTGTCAACATATTTCTTGAAAATAAGGAAAATTGTTTTGATTAGAATATACCAATAAAAAGATAAGATTCATAGCCACACAATTTCGAGGAATAAGATAAACCTATCGAGATGGGATTTGTATCGGAATCTTGTTGCTCCAATATCGTAACCACTTCTGATCTCACCTGAGGGAAGTCTGTCAAATTGTATGAAATTTATTACAAAATTGTGATTGTTCCTGTTAACATAGAAGAAAGCAAAAGCGATGTTCACCCAGCTTGGAGCGATTAGTTCATCTTCCCCGAATACGTCTATAGAGTTATAAGTAGTATGTACCTATTGAATAAGCTTGGTCCTTATCTCTTGGTATTGGAAATCTGTATCCTCCTGCATCTTTTACAGTCCCATCCCTTCCCTCAGGGTTATACTTGACTACCTCTCCATTGCGAAGATTGATGTCTTCCTTGTACGCTTCATCCCCTAATTTTGTATAGATCGAGTGCTCTTCATATGAAATATAATCTATTGATTAATGGGGCATTACTAGGAAAAATTTTATTTGTATCAGAATCTTTGTTTTGATGCTCCTTAGTCCTTCTTACGGCAAGGAATATCACCTATTTTTAGTTATTCAAGAGTTTCAAGTTGCTTACTGGTATTCCAATCACGAAATTCTGGTCTTTGATTTTGTAATCATCATCAAATATGGTTGTGAAGAGAATATCATACATCCAATCTTCAATCATTTTAGTTTCACTGATATCGTCGAAAGAAAGATAAATATTTCTTAAAAGTTCATTGCCTGGATCTGTGCTATTAGTTGGTGTATCTCCTTCTGGATAATCTTCTTCTGGATACTCTTCTTCTGGATAGTCTTCTTCTGGATAGTCTTCTTCTGGATAGTCTTCTTCAGGAACATCATCTGGCGTTTCTTCTGAAGGTTTTTCGTCAGAAGGGTCGCTACCAGACACAGGGGGACCTGTAATTGACCTTTTAAACTTTTTTCCAAAATTTTCCTTGAGAACTCTTCTTCCAAAGATTCCTCCTCCAAATAAATCAGAGGCTAGTACAAATTCTAAAAATCAAATCCCTAACATACCTTGTGACTTTATGTATTCCTTCACATTATGATGTTCGAATGAGGAAGTATTATCAATATGATAAAGTGAAACAAAAATAAAAATGATACTAAAAAATGCTATGCAGAAGAAGACTGTAGAGCCTATTCTTCATTCTTCCTATACTCCTGAGACCGACTCTTTCAAGCCGCTTCTTTCTCTTATCTTCCTTTTCTTTCTTGATCTGCTGAATGATGTCTATAATCTCTTTATCTATCTCATCTTTGCTCTTGATTTCCTTTGGCCTTAGAATTCTTTGGATTCTGTAGCAGATTCTTTCTCTTATTGTAAAGCCAGCATTCCTTTCATCAAAGACTAAATGTGACAAAAATAGCCTACCTTCGTCTTTTTCTTCAGAATCTTTCGGTTTTTCAATCTTTTTGGGGAAGAACACCTATAAATTAGTTTGAAAGTACATATAAAAGATTGCTATCTTTGTAGGTGATTCGAGCAATTGCTTCATTGTACAACTGAGTTCATGACCTGAGGTAAATGTATCTGATGATTACGATTGTCATCAACATTTTGGATAACAGTAAGATAAAAACAATAACAAACACCAAACTCATAAATCTTGCTAAAGTAGATAAATTGTTATCTCCATTTTCTTCTATTGATATTGAAGTGAATCCAAATGTCAAGTTCAGCATTCTGATATAAACATTGAGGAAATTATCGCTTTCAGGGTCGTATGTCCCCACAAGGAACATTGACATGTACACAAATCCACATAGTAGGATTGTGATTACCAGAAACCATATTATGAAATCATTGAAAGCAATCCTTACAGTATCAAATAGGGCACTAAAGGAAGGAAATTTCACTGTGAGTAACTTGAGAGATCTGATGCATATCAAGATAATATTAATACAGATGATATATTTGAATATGCTAGTTATTCCTCCTAACTCAGCATAATCTTGAAATTGATCTTGATCAACAGGAAGTTTTATATCCCGTGGGTTTATGACTATCAATCCCCAGAATACAATCGTAATGTGGCTAAGCAAAATGATGATAAGATCTATCACTTCATACCAGAATACATTAATCTCTCCTAGCCTAAATAATTCTTTTACCACTCTTATGATTACTTTTCCAATTTCGTAACTGTAAAAGAGCAGTCCGAGAAAGAAGATTATATCCAAAGACATGAAAAAATATTGGAGAAATTTAGATGATTGGTGATAATCTTTGCTGTACCTGCTCACATAGAAAGCTTGAATATCCTTGTATGTCTCTATCTTCCCTGCATTATTTATCATGAATTCATAGGCAAGGTTTATTCCGACCTGAAAATTTTCATTATATAGCATTATTTCAACAACAAGGTTGACAAGGTCTCCTTCAAAGACTCCATCTTCTAGAAGGGTTGCATATTGTATTAAAGCTTCATAATAATCCAAAGAGTCATCAAAGTAATGAACATATCCACCTTTTCCTTTATATCCTCCGTTTTTAGAGTATTTCGTGTTATCTGTTCCGAAGGGTTCTGTATGCAAGTTACTTTGTCTTTGATTTGATTTGCCTTTATAATTTCCTTTTCTAGTTACAGGAATCTTTTCCTTATAAGCATCAGTATTGGTCTGAGCTAGAGCACGATTATGAGTCAACCTCAGACCTCAAAAATAATTAGAGTAGCTGAGATAATGGTATCCTTCAGCCATTGCTTCGAATTCCTTCTGGGACTCATCATAAATTTGAGCAATGATGACATTTCCAAAGAACTGGTAAAGATCTTCCTTCTCTGTGATCTTTTCATATGTATCTCCATTTTTGTTATAAGGCCTTGACTCAAAGATATCAGTCACTGTTCGGGCCATCGAGTTAGCACTTCCGATCTTTTGAGAGGAAGAGCATGAGATTATATAGATAACAAGAAATCAAATATGGATTATTATCCTGAAGACACTTGTATTGAGATCTGTTGGCTTGACATTCAGACTATCTGGTGTATCCTCTTCATCATTACTTTTTTCTTTTATCAGATCATGTTGAGAATACATTATTTAATTTCCATGAATTCTCAGTCCATCAGGTTCGGCTTGCAAGGTCTCTTAGGCTCAGTCACCATAGGATGCTTCTCTTCTAAAGATTAAATCAATCTCTAAGGAATGGAATGGTTACCTTCTATACTCCCTGAATCCTCAGAGGAGTGGCTCTCAGAAATAGATGAAGGGGCTGAGTTATCTTCTCTCCTTTCTATTATTAAATCTCTATAAGCTAGTTAAGTATTTAGAAGTTTTGCAATGAATTCTGGCCGGGAAAATGAGAAATTATTATATTTATTCGATCTTTAGGAAAATGTAGACCTTCTTGGTTAAAATTTCAATGTTTTGTTCAATTTAATACATAAAGGGAACTATAATATATTTGAGCTGTAATAAGGTCCTATTTTCCCTTGAATGAGGGCTATCTTTGTGAGGTTATGGAAGATTTGCTTAAAAAGATGCAGTTTCAAATTTACCTGTATGCCTGAAACATCTCTTTACTCTCTTCATGATGATGCCTTTTAAAGCTAATAACTTTTTCTAATGGACTAGTGGGGTTCTTGGTCATAATGGGCTACATAAGCATTTAATTAATAAAATTGTTTTTGACTTACACCAAGAGTTGGTCTTTTTGGAGATTCACTCTCCTTTGATAGCTCTTGAATTTCTTCTATTTCATCCATATTCCTAAAAATATTATAATCTATAGCTTTTGTTCAAATATAAGATTTTATTCAGGGGTTTTGGGGTTTTGGGGTTTTGGGG